GACACAAATGTCATGGTTTAAACGCAAACTCAATAAGTGAAGTGTGGAAAGGAAAATGGGAGATGTGGGAGGGAAATGTGAAAACTGATTTTAAATGGTAGTATACGCGCTAAGTGCAATATGTTTAGTTACCTAGGTACGGTTGCTGTTTTCAAGCGCTCTCGGCAATGACCATCATATGCTATCTCCACTTCCACCATGGTGTTCTTGCAGCAACTTTAGAACGCAAAAGATAAGGGACTACCATTTTGCGGATCCTTTCTACTTATTGCCAGATACCGCCAGTCCGTCCATGTGGATCAGTTGGATAGGGTGCTTGTCCTCCGATCTACCTACCCGTGGCGGGGTGGGTTCGCGTCGGCTTAGGTGCTCGCTATTTGTTCTTGACAGGTATGACCTGCGGCCGTTGGCAGCGGTCGTGTTAAAGGTCACTTGGTGTCCGAGGGCAGGACGAACAGTGTCGAGCATTGCGGCATGTTATACCTTCTCCACTAAATTCTGCCGTTGCCTGGAATTACGCGATTGGATGGTAGGGGCCAGGGCTCACGCAACAAGCATTGCTTAGCGTGAGCTCTGCTTCCAGGAATCCATCCATTCAAAAGGTTTGGATCAAATCTTTAAAAAGGGAAAATGCACTCCTTGAAACATCTTGCATATACATGGCTTGGCTGGTAGCGTCATGTATACCATTGTCGAACCATATTTACGGGGCTCAGCACAAAAAGAACGGAGCAAGCAAACAAACAAAAACAAAAGCGTCGAAGTTGAGAGACGCGACGTTTTAGTGCTTTTTCGTAAACCTGTTTTGTACCTGACGATAAGTTTTGAAGCTACAAGCAGGTATCTGTGATAGCCAAGATCAATCCGAGGTCAACATCCAAAAATTAGAGCCCTCATAGCTTGTCTGGGTATGGACAGTTTCAGTGAGGACTGTAAGTGTTCCGTTATGTGTAGACATGTGCATTTGCTGGTATAATATTCTACAGTCTTATAACCTGTAGCGGAGTGGCTTTCAGTGGGCATTCCGGCAGTGGCTGGCCGGAATCGTATCATATCAATCGTAATCATTGGAGCATTGCCCCCAAGTGACTGGGTCGGTGTTCTCGGGATCATTACCAATTAAAAACATTTCATTCTTAATAGTGTTGATATGTATTCGCAAGTGCCATTTGCCAAGGGGATGTGCCCATTGGCAATACCCCGTGGCCGATGGCAAATGGGGCATTGCCAATGAGCATATCCGCAAGTCCGCTCTTCGCAATGTTAGGCACCACGCGTGGGAACCTACCCCTGAATCCGCAGAACTGAACTGTCTTCTCATGAGCCGGCCCGCCAGTTGAGCGACAGCCGAATACAGTTTCAGGCGGGGACTCTAGCTTTCTTCGCTTAGTAGTAGCACAGCGGAGGATCAACACAGTAGTGTGTCACGTGCATTGCCTTCGGCTGGATTAAGTGGATTCATCCCATATCGCAGTCGCTTTTGCCAGTCTAAACGCATCTCATCAGAGAATGTTTGGCTGCGCTTAGGCAGCACCATAAACTGTGTTAATGCAAACCTGGAAGGAGTGGCATGTAAACTCCGCGATCCTTAAGCAGGGTGTCGTTGGAATGTCGTCTCACCACCGTAATGCATAGCCAGAGTTTCCCTCTTTTATTAATTTACATAAGCGAACAAAAACTCCTGGAATCGGGCGTCTAGGGAGTAACAGAGCTGCCGGGATGCGTGAAAAATGTGAGAAAAGATCCGTGAAATATCATCCTGTGAAGCTTTGTGAAGCATTTTCCACTGAACACATACAAATTCTTACACTGGTACAGTATATGGTCAACTGGGCTAGATGATATGCACTGCGCTGAGAAAAAGCTACGAAACTGCAAGTGATGTTTCCCCGACATTGAACAACGGACGTCTTTCCGTGTTGGGAGGAAATGTGATGATAGCCCTTTTGATTAATTCTTTGTAGTCAACGCCCAAAGGGCCAATTCTAATTTTTCAGAAAGTTGTGGGCCTCAACCCCAGCCCCATCCCTGATTTCCGCGTCACATGCCCTACAGTGGTGCAGTGCAATGCACATGAGTAATTTGCATGACGATGGTCATTTACGAGAACGCCGGTTATTAAACGCATGACCTCCCACCAACGTCGACCTCGTCCTCCCATCAAAAGTTGGTGGCGCCGTCCTTGGATGCCTGGCATCTTAATGAAACTTTGATGACAAAGTGTGTCCCTTCAAGTAAAGAAGCGATGAGAAGATGACCTGATCAACAGCACAATTTTAAATCGTCTGACAGATTCTTACACCCATTCTGCTACCAGATCATCAGCACTCGGAGTCATTGGTTCGGTACAGGTAACAAATGTGAAGAACCGTCTTAGGCAATAGTAAAGTTCTACAAGCGAACTTGTGGTATTCTGCTCCGCTGCCAGGACCATAGCCATTACGCCTCACAACTAGTAATTCTGCGGTGTGGTGGCATTTGTCTTGCGACGGTACGCGGCGTGCTTACTTGACTGCTGCACTGCGTGAGTGCGGCAATTAGCTCAAGCTCCGCCATGTTAAATGACTGTTGTGCACTGTGCAATGCATTGTTCTGCCTTGCAGCCTAATGGAAGTGCTTTCCCATCGATGTTTTTAATAATCCACTTCACACTTAGTACTAACACGAATTACATACACGCTGCTCACAGAAACTGCAAGAATTCAAGAGAATAAACAAAATCAGAGGGAACTCTAAAATAGGCCAAAAGGTCCGCAACTGCAACAGACGAATGCTGGTGGGAGGTATTGGAATACCGTTAACTGAGGCGAAACAACAGCAAGCTTAAGCACGAAACTGCTTCAGGCCTACGCGCTGCTTTTACTGTGTTTAATACATACTGTCTACTGTGTTTAACGGTGAACATGATGTTCTCACACTTAGTACACTTGCAAATTGGAGCTATCACGGCAAAGTGCGTCCGACATATATCTGAACAAGCTCAATAGTAACTTAAAAAGCTTTTTTGGGCTAAAAACATAACACCAATTCGCGCAGCGCTCTTATTTCTGCTGCATATATTCTAAACATTTCGGTCAAAATGCAGCATCCTGCATTTGTTTTCCGAACGTTGAGCCCTGTCATGCATGCTTTAAAATATAGCGTGTATTGTTATATAACGCCCTGATCTTCGAGCTGGCCTTGGAGGTCGTGAGGTGCACAACGCCAGCAAGCGCAATATGATTTGCTGTCGTAGCGTTTGCCTATGTCCTCTTTGAAACACATTAGTTTATGTTGAAAAAGGCTATGCATATAAGATACTTCGTTGTCTGGGTCAACGGTATGTTAGATACTGCTATGACGTTCTCTTTGGCTACCTCAACGGCCTGTTTTACTCGGCTTACTGTCCGCCTCAAATATGAAGTCATCGCACCTCAACGCGACAGCAGATCACGTGTACCGCTGGCCCAATAAATGTTGGGCCATCTTTCGCATCATATCAAAACCCCTACTATGTAAGCATAAGGTCAAACTGTAGTAACTCTGGTTTCAGGATGTGATGAATCACGCGAGAAAATCTGGTTATCACCTCCGACCACTTTGTGAATAAGATATTGGCTTTGTCTGGCTTCACCATGCGGTGATGGCGAACTAGCGCATCAGGGATGAAGTTAAATATAATCGGCTTATGAAGGTTTTGATTAAAAAACAGCACTCGATGTGAAATCACTTTAAACTGACATGATGGCCAATTTGGTAAACAGTCAACTACTTCAATCGTCCAATGGCTTAGTTATGCTGCCTAGCCATTCAATATAACTAACAAAATGACTCGACTCGAACTCGGCAGTTATGCTCTAAGAACAGCTTCTCTTTGTCTCAGAAAGATTGTGAGATCTTTGCCGGTCACCAGGAGAAAAACCAAAACTGACTCAACGCGCGAATTCGGCGGACGAAGGCCCAGCGTGCATTGCTCCTTTGGTCTTATTTCTCATAGCTGTGGGCAGGCGTTGATGGAAGTGAGCTCTACACATCTCAGCTCACCGAAGAATCTACGAGGAACGGCACGCAGTAGACGCGCTTCAGAAGAGTCTGGACCAATATGAACTCTGCATTCATAGACCGGACATTAGGGTGAAGGAGAATGCAACAGACAGCTGCGTGATATGACTTAAATATAAACAGAGGTGAGCTCTAGTGGGAATGTCATCTCTTTAAAAGGTCTTTCCACGGGCGTAATCTCTATCCAGCCCTTCAGGCACCTTCGCGAAGCCAAGCGCGCGCCAACTGGGTGCGACCAGGCACCATCCCAGCAGAAGCCAACAGCTGACCGCGCCGTGCCTCAGCAAAGGCACTCTCGCCTCTCGCGCGTGCCGGAAGACGAGCCGACTTCTTCCGCGTCCCGTCGGGCGGTGGCCGTGCGGGTCGCGCTACCGGCGGCCGCCGCACCCGACCTCCGCGCCGTCACGCAAAGCCGGCGGTGGTGCGCACCGCGCGGGCGCTGCCGCGTGCCGCCCGACGGCCCGTCGGTCCCGACGCGATAATGTCGCGTCGGGACCGACGGGCCGATCGACCGGACGGGCCGCGCGCGGCCGCAATTAAAACGGTATCGTGGTATTATCGGTCGACCGTTGGCACGAGAACGTCGTATTAGCGGGCCAGTGGGTGGCGGCGGCGGAAGGAGGCGCGACCGCCGCGCACCGGCCGGAGGAGAGGAGCGACGAGACGCGCGGGAGAGCGGGGGAGGGCGGAGAGATGGTGAGGAGAGGGCGGGGAGAGGATGAGAACGGAGGGAGGAGAGAGCGGGAGAGAGCTGGGAGTCAGCGGAAAGAGAAAGACAGAGAACAAGGACTTGGACAGGGGGTGGGGGGGGGGGGGGAGATGGAGTGTAACATGCATTCCAAAAACAAAAGCTGGAAAACGTTTGGTGAGACATGCCTGGCCGGGGTCTTCCACAAATATTCAGAAGCTCGGTACTCTCTAAGAAGTACGTAAAGAGCAACATATAACGACAAACGCACCTGTTAGTTGCGTTGCGGCTTGTGTTAAATTCTGCAGCGGAGTTTTATCTGAAAAAGGAAAGATGTGATGACACGTAATGCAACTAAGCGATCTGCCTCTGTGTGTACTTGATTTTTTGAAGTTCTTACGGTTTTACAAAGCAAATCGTAAGCAGAGAATGTGAGATGCCATGAGAGTAATATTTTCAAAATTATTTTGGCACTAGTCTTTCAAAAAAGCAATTCGGTAAGCATGCCCACTATCCCCTGCGTTTCCGCGTTTACGGTGCACGCCTCCAGCTGCATGCATTCAATTATATTTAACATATTTGGAATAATTGCACAGTCAGCGCTCAAAGACACAGGACTGATCAAGTCTCATTTACATAGCCACATTGCAACTGGCACGATCAACACGCCGCATTATCATCCCCTAGTAGTATAGCTCCCTCATAATTGCCCCCAAACCCCGCCTCTCCCCCCCCAAACCCCCGCCTCTCCCCCCAAACCCCCGCCTTCCCCCCCCCCACACACCCAACGTAGTCCTCTCCGTCAGGACCGGCCCCCCCAGCACCTCATCAGTCCACCCTCTGCCACGCACACACACACCCAGCGCAGCCCTCCCCGTCAGGACCGGTCCTCCCAGCACCTCATCAGTCCACCCTCTGCCACACACACACACCCAGCGCAGCCCTCTCCGTCAGGACCGGTCCCCCCAGCACCTCATCAGTCCACCCTCTGCCACACACACACACACACACCCAGCGCAGCCCTCTCCGTCAGGACCGGTCCTCCCAGCACCTCATCAGTCCACCCTCTGCCACACTGCATTCCGCGCGCCCCAGTATCCCGCCCTGTTGCTGCATCGCCATGATAAACGCGCCGCGACTCCCACCGTATCACATCACACAAAAAATTGAATTCGCCTCGGACAATGCGCGGCCGGCGCATAAATCAGCGCCGGGCGGCTCCCCCGACAGCGGCTGGACACCCCGCCGGCAGGCATTGTCGGCGCCCGCGGCCGAAAAAGGCCGCCATTGTGACGCCGGCGGCGGCGGCGTGCGGCGCGGCGCGGCGCGGCCAAGACGGAGCGGTCGGGGCGGCGGCTGGCTAGCCTGCGCTCGCCTGGCGGGACCAGACTCTGCCAGTGGTGGGGAGGAGCAGGCTGCTCGTGTCACCATGTCCTCTGTGCTCAGGAAAACTGACATGGCCCAGTATGGGTGGGATGAGGTGGTACAGATAACAGGCCGGATCTGCCATCTCTTGATGGGGAACACTGGGAGTCATCAGGGTTCAGTGGGCAAGCAGACAAGCTCACTGAGCTCACTTAAGCTTGCTATCAGCTGGCCATTAGCTCATCGGGCTCACCAGAAAATGACCAAATGCTTACTTGGTCCCCAAAACGATCAACAGGAAAGACGGTCCTTACCAGAATGTAATTGAGTGAGGGGAAAGCTCTGTAGATGGCTGAGCGACGCTACATACAGAGCCTCGGGGTTGGAAGTACAGAGGACTCCCTGACGGTCAACACATGACTCAGAAAAAAACTCATTGGTACGCCGACGAAGGTGGATTTAATAACCGCTGCAGAACATATATGATCAAAATAGACCCCAAGCATGGACTCCAGTTCTTAGCACGCTAGTTTGAATGGGGAAATGAAAGGGGAGTGGGGGTGGGGGGGGGGGGGCAAAGCAAGACATTGTTAAAAGTTATTCGGAATGACACACGCCGCCGCTTTGATCCAGGAGTGCATCCTTGTTTAGTGCAACCATCACCCTGGGATCTTGCACCTCACATAACAGCCCAAGCAGAGGAGCAGGAATTTACCCAAAGTGGGATGTGAGGGAAGAGCGCATTTTCTGCCATTTTAAGTCTTTTCTTGACATATAGTATCACAGGGCTACGACTGCATGTGTCTTAAGCTGGAACAAACTTGCACCCCTGATGCCCAGGTGCCTGTGTCCAGAGTACCGAAATTCCAGTTCAAAGAGCAATCTTAGCTGGATTTTGTAGCATCCGCCGGGACTGTCGGCTGTTCCGCCATTATCCGTGACGGGCGGCACAGCATAGCAATGCAGGATAATCGCTTATTTTGTTGCCGATTTTGGAGCACGGCTGGTGTTGCCTTCTGAGACGCGACACAGATGGGCCTAATTAAAGCCGTGTCTTTTTAACGGTCTGCAAACAAAAAAGGAGTAAAAAAAAATGGTTTCATCATCATCGTGATTGCATCACTTTTGTCTGACTTGTCTTCTTTAAATGACAGAACAAACCGTCACTGATCGGTAATGTCGATGGCGGCAAATTTACATGATGAGAGGTTATCGGATGTTTCCTTGTTCTCCTCGCTGCCAAGAGAGGATTTTCCCATAGAGAGCAGCTGTGTCTACAATTAATAACATTATCAGACTTGATGACGGGCGCAGCCAGAATTCCCTTGGTGTTGCACTACACATGTGCGGTTCAGCAGTGTTGTTATTAATATTACCAGCAGGAAGCCATCACCATTCATGGAAGAGGCAAATCCCGTGTTTTACAACAAAAAACATAGCTTTACTTGTAATCGTAGTTTAGCAAGTTTATGTCATTTTGGTCAGACATTGGAGTGGGCTGAGAAAAGCAGTGGGAGTTGGGCAAGACCCTTCAAAGAGACACGCCAGTAAGGTAACAAAACCCATCTGGACCCAATCACAGCAAACTCATTTCGACGGTAAGATAAAAACTACGCCAAAATTATACAATGCAAAGGGTACCATCTCCGGCGCTAACGATAGTAATGATTTTGTTTGCACTTTCCAGGGATGCACCAATACACGACACGATAGCAAGATGAAAGCATTCTTTTGGCCTTATTTGCATTGTTTGGAGATAGCTAGATTATGACCACAGGTAACACCACCTTTGGGATCTGCCTTGACAGCATACCGTTCCGAACCGATAAACGAAAAAAACACATTTCAGCACCTAAAGGACAGCTAATCTGCTGTACTGTGTGACTGGAGATATAGCGGAATAGCCCACATTTAGTGTTTTACACCAGCGTTTGGTCCGACACACGAATGCAATTTCAGTCAAATGCATGTTCCCTTGCATGCTCCGAATTTTAAACCCTCTAAATGTTGTGTATCCAGCTTTACCTTAGGAGACACATTCTGTTTGTTCGAACAGAAAATCTGCTGGCACTAATTTAGAAGTTACTTGAGTTGCGCATGGTTTGGTCCGGACAAAAAATGCCCTACAGCTGACACCTGACCGGAACAGTTTAGCCTGGATGGGGCGATGCGTCCAGCGCACAGAAAGAAGCATTCTCACCAGTCCTATCTGGTTGAAAAGCGCAGGGGAAACACTCATTAAGCTAAGCCGTATGTGCTCAGGCTGCCAATTGAGGGTGGTGTTGCACGTAAAAATAACGCTATCTGTTGAACAAGTTACTGCATGTGTAGTCACTTCGTTTTCTCTTCTTTCTAGATTTTCTTTTATGGAGTACACAGGGTAAGATGAATACAATGCAAACAACAGGCAGTTTTAAGATAAGCTTCTCACTAACCACGCTTCTCCTTCTCACACGCGATCATCCAAAGCACCTTTATGCATACCCTCGCCTGACAACAGCTGGGCATCACCAAGCGTTTGGAACAACATGCCACTGGGATCCGAGGTGTTGCTTAAGTCCTCATCGAGAAAAGCAGTAAGAACCATACTTTTCTATAGCGTTGGTTTCCACGCAATTGCAACCAGCTCCAATGCTCTGGGTGCGACATTTGACATTTGACCCCAATATGCGGTGTTGGATTCCCCACGGCAAAAAGTCTTTCAAGTGTTGCCACATTTTATGCAAAGTGAGTAATGTACAGTTGTTGATGTTGCTTGTTTCAATCGATCATTTAGGTATCTAGCAGTATCTAGCATCCTCGTGTCGTGCCTTTCACCACCGCTCACCCCAGAAAGTTCGCTTCTAGTATCGGCTCGCTCGGCAATGACGGAGACAAACGTACCAATTTCCTGCAGAGCGGCACCCTAAAACATTTCATTATTTCACCCATTGTACCTGAGCGAATACGATCGCATTCGACACGCGCCTCGTGGGTGAAGAGCGCAGGACCCTGCAGCGATTGAGCCGTTTCCGACACGAAGTGAGCGCCGTCGATGTCAGCCCATTGTTCTGCGTCCCACCGGCGGTGCTGCACGTGCAGGGCGGCTGCGGCCGAAGCGTCCCCGCCACACGACAGCCGAGGCCGACGGGAGCGAGCGGGCGGCAGTGGAGCGCCACACGCCGCGCGCCCCCCAGCGGCTGTTTGTTTTATCCGCGATTCGGCCCGGACGGTGACGGCTTGATCGGCGCGCCCTAATGACTGCGCGCGTCACGTGACCGCGAGTTCATCATGACGTCACACACGTGATACGATCGGTCACGCACGGCAGCGGGTGACGGATGACGTGAGGGGCACTCGAACGGCGCGCGGCGCGAGCGACCCGGCGCGCGCGCCGTGTGGGGTGGTCCCCCGCGTCACTGGTGTCTGCACGTGTGGCGAGACGAACAGGGCGGATGAGGATGATTTTACTAGTGCATGAAGTGGCTGCCCGAGCTGGTGGAGGGACTGGCTGCAGTCGAGAGGCTGGTCTAGCAGAACGGGCCCGCAACCAAACAGACCTTCCGCAATGAAACTGAAGCAGGTTTGGTGGATTCCCCACGGTTTGGCAGGCACACTGCAATAGTATGGGGATCGCACGTGGGGCTCCCAGTCGCCTCAATAAGTCGTCAGCTGCATAACCTCCTGGCCTCGTCATCAGTTCGGACATGGCTTTAGCACGTGGCAGGCCTCAGCGGACGTGCAGCACCCGGCCCCACCCTCCCGTTTACTCCCCAGCCACGTGCCCTCCCCCCCCCCCCCTCCCGTCGCTCTCCGCCCCCCGCGGCGCGGCCTGGCGGAGGCACGCGACCACACTCGCGCGCCCCACCTGCGAGCGAGCATCGCCGGCGGCGATAAAGGCGGTCCATCGTGCTCCGGGGGACGGGCCGGAGGGGTGCCGCCAGGCACGTGCCACTGCTATTAGTCCCGGCCGCC